CAACAGGGGTATTGATGACAGCCCACCAAGCCGGCCACAGATTCCAGAAAGACGTCTGAAGCTACCTACGCACCTACGCAAGCTCAGCCATCGCAGTTCACCCCACATTGCGTCAGGCATCCTCCTACGACCTCCTCGCTCTCGCAACAACACGCCTGCACATACCTCTACGCCAATTCTCCCGCCCTAGACCTCGCCGCACACGGCATTCATTCATCATGGCGAACCAAACTCCCGCCGTTGTCATGGACAAGTGCGTCGACTGCTCCGCCCCGCTGCCTTTCTCCAGCTCCGTGGCTAACATATAGCGACTCCAACAGCGGCACGGGCTTTTCCAAGCTTGGTACGCCGGCTTCCCGAGTCGATGCGCATATTCTAGCTCCGATACTAACAAAAGGTTCCCAGGTTTTGCTGGAAATGATTCCCCGTCCTTTGTCTTCCCGACTGCCATTGCGACCAAGGGCCCCGCTGCTGGAGGCGGCGGCTCCGGCTCTGGCCGTCCTGCTGTCGGCAACAAGCCCTCGTTCCTCACGGGAGGCGCTGGCCCTGCCAGTAACCATCTAAGCTCAAAGCGCGGTACTGAGGATCTCGATTTCTTCATCGGCGACGAGGCAACTAGCGCTGCTGCCGGCCCTGGTAAGCTAGCCCGCCAACGCAACGCAAGCAACAGCTAATCATCTAGGATACGGTCTTCACTACCCTATCCGCCATGGACAGATTGAGAATTGGGTATGCCTCGGCATTCAAGTATTCCAAATCATGCGCTGACAACTTCAGGACCACATGGAACGCTTCTGGTCCAACTCCATCTTCAAATATCTGCGCGTCGAGCCCGAGGACCACTACTTCCTCCTCACCGAACCTGTCAGTCTATACGGCCGCGATGAACGAACACATACTAACACATAGCAGCCGCTGAACCCCCCAGAGAACCGAGAAAATACCGCCGAGATCTTCTTCGAGTCCTTTAACTGCGCGGGCATGTACATTGCCGTCCAGGCCGTCCTCGCGCTTGCGGCCTCTTGGACTTCCTCCAAGGTAACCGACCGCTCACTTACCGGTACTGTTATCGACTCTGGTGACGGTGTCACTCACGTTATTCCCGTTGCCGAAGGATACGTCATCGGATCTTCGATCAAGTCCATCCCCATCGCTGGCCGAGACATAACCTACTTTGTGCAGTCGCTACTACGAGATCGCGGCGAAGCCGACTCATCCCTCAAAACCGCTCAAGAAATCAAGGAGTCGTACTGCTACGTCTGTCCCGATATCGTCAAGGAGTTTGCCAAGTACGACCGGGATCGCAGCCGTTTCCTGAAGCACACCGTGTCGCTTCCAGGTGGTCGTCAAGTCGGCGTTGACGTTGGCTATGAGCGTTTCCTGGCCCCTGAGATCTTCTTTAACCCTGAAATCTATAGCTCCGACTTTCTCACCCCTCTCCCCGTCGTCGTCGATGGCGTTATTCAGCAGTCGCCCATTGACGTGCGCCGCGGCTTGTACAAGAACATTGTCTTGTCCGGCGGTAGCACTTTGTACAAGGACTTTGGAAGGCGTTTACAAAGAGATATCAAGCTCATGGTGGACGACCGCATTCGTGCCAGTGAGCTCCGTAGCGGTGGTGCTCGCAGCGGTGGTCTCGACGTGCAGGTCATTAGCCACAAGCGTCAACGCCACGGACCCTGGTTCGGAGGTAGTCTGCTCGGCCAAACGCCCGAGTTTCGTTCATACTGCCATACCAAGGCCGAAGTAAGCAATACTAGGTTGCAATCAGAGACTAGGCTAACGCAGAATAGTACCAAGAATACGGCCCCAGCATTGTGCGCAGATTCCAGCTCCTCGGCGGTCCAGGAGGCTCCTAAATGCACTACTACGGTGAACGTCTTTACGGCCCATGCGCTTTTCCATCCGCCATTGGCAAGTTTTTTGTTAGACTTGGAGGCTTCTCAAAAATGTGCGAAGAGGTGGCGAAGCGGCGGCAGGCAGGCTATAAATATGATGAAGGGGCCAAGGTCATTGAGACTTTGTTTCACAATAAAATAGTTATTTCCAGTCCCATAATTCGTTTGTGGAACATGTCGTAGCGGCTTGGATAGATTTGTGCCTGAGTCGCCGACTCGAATATCGGATGGCGCTCGCACGAGCCGAGTGGCGACTACATGAGGAATGAGCTCAATAATGGTCAATACCGAATATGATATGCACAAGGCATTTTCAAATTTGAAATCATAATTTCATACTACATCAGATTGCATAGAAAGAAGGCATCTGCCAACGCAGCCTGCCGATGCTACTTGCGCCACTCCGCCATCAACTCCGACCCCCTTGCGCCACGCTTTCCACTCGACTTTTGAACACTCATATCATTACAACTCTGCATCAGGCTAGCGGCTGGTATCCAGAACATAGCGACCGGTAATCTGACCCGCCTTCATAAGATCATACACAGCAGGCAGTTCGCTCAGGCCGACAACCTTGTAGGGCACCTTGACGAGGCCCTTGCGGTAAAACTCGATAGCCTCGGCCGTGTCGCGGCGGTTGCCGACATAGCTGCCGCGGATCTGAATCATGCGCAGGACGGTATCGAAGACGGGGGCCTTGAAGTGGGCGTCGGCGGGCAGGCCGATGCAGACGACGACACCGCGCGAGCGCACATACTGGGTGGCCTGCTGGAAGGGGCCCTCCTGGACGGCGAGGAGCAGGGCGGCGTGGGCGCCGAGCCCGTCGGGGGTCAAGGCCCTAATCTCGGAGACAATGTCCTTTGAGGAGCGAAAGTCGACAAAGTCGGCGCCGTAGCTCTGGACGAGGGCTCGCTTCTCGTCGCCGGTATCGATGCCGATGACGCGCAGGCCCATGGCGCGGGCGTACTGGCAGGCGAGGGAGCCGAGGCCGCCACCGGCGCCGGCCACGACGACGGACTGGCCGGCGCGGGCGCCCGACTCCTTGAGGCCCTTGTAGACAGTGATGCCGGCGCACAGCAGGGGCGCAATCTCGGCGAGGTCGCACTCCTTGGGGATGCGGGCGACGTGGGCGGCCTTGGCGACGCAGTACTGCTGGAAGCTGCCGTCGACGGTGTAGCCCGAGAGCTGGGCGGCGCCGCAGAGGGGCTCGTCGGCGGCCTGGCAGTAGGCGCAGGCGAGGCAGGAGCCGTTGAGCCACTTGACGCCGACGTGGTCGCCGAGCTGGACGTCGTCGCCGACGAGGGCGCCGCGGGCGACGACGACGCCGGCGCCTTCGTGGCCGCCGACGAGGGGCATCTTGGGCGCAATGGGCCAGTCGCCCATCATGGCGTGCAGGTCGGTGTGGCAGACGCCGCTGTACTTGATGTTGACGAGGACCTCGTCAGGGCCGGGCTGGGGGACGGGGATCTTCTTGTACGAGAGAGCTGGGGGGCGTGTTTTGTTAGCGAGGGGGTATCAATTGGGTATGGATGGCAATGATACGTACGTCCTCCGACGGCCTCGACGACTTGGGCCATTTGCTCAGTTGGAATTTGTGCCATGTTGAAAGGTGTGTGTGTGTGTAATTGTGTGTGGATGGTGTAAGCGGATGTGATGGTCGATGATGGCCGATGATGATGGATGAAGGGAATAGAGTTTAATTGAAGAGGTCACACCAGATACAATGGAAGAGAATACAATGGAGGAATCCTACATATGGAGTACGTCAAGCGGTATAAGTACTATGAAAGAAGCCATGCACGAGAATGGATAGCCCGTTGAGAGAAACCCATATTTGGGTCGACGGCCCTTTGGCGGCCCTCCTTCGGGAGAATGGAGGCAAGGTGCCCAACACTCCACTGGAAGCCGTCAGATAAAACAGGTTATTAACTCGCGTATATCCGGTGATGGTGAGGTGGCTGCGCAAATCGTTCATGGGTCAGGCTATGCAAGTAACGCCAGTCTTCCGATAGTGGCGTGGTGTGGATAGAAGGCGGCCGGATGCGGTAGATTCAAAAGACTGCAAAAAAAACTAGAGACGACGAGCTAAGATAGACAAGAACAAAGATAAGGGAGTGGGCATTTGACGCACGATGAAAGCATTCGACCAGCAAGTATTGAATGGATCAAGTGTCTCCTGTCTCGACTCGTTGTTCAATGCTTGCGGCAGATGTAAATAGAATATCTAGACCACTTCCGAGCGGCTCCGAGCTTCTATACAGGGGGGACGTTGAGTACCTAAGCACCTAAGGTAGTTTTGAGCCCCCGCCACGGCGCCCGCACCAACAATTTTCCGTCGAGACTTGGGGTTTCGCGCAACTTTTGAACAATTAGGCTGCAAAAATGGTCAGTATTAAAAGAAAGAAAGAAGAAGCATAAATGAAATGAAATGATAATGGAATGTCCCGCGCAAAAGTGCAATGTGTGCCCCGAATTCTCTTGACCGCTTTGTAATAAATGTCGGAGCTGCGAGGAGAAACAACGCGCGCTGGAGCCTGAAAGCCCCGTTCGAGCGAAAACCGGAGACGCAGCAGCAAAGATAACAACATATCAACAAAAAGAGAGAAAAAGAAAAAGAGAATATAAAAAAGAGGAATAATGATGCGCATGAATCAGCTGTCACGTCACATCGAAAATGGGAATTTTTTTAACGACGCCACAGTGCGGGGAATGCGCATTCTCAGCCTAGTACGCCGCCTCGAGCACTTACACGGGCTACGCTACAACCGTTGCACGCACATCATAGGTACCTAGTTTACAGTAACATACTCGGGGAACCGGGAGCCGGCATTGTACTTGCAGGACCCCAACAGAAAAGGGTGTGATGAAAAAAGATTGATAGAACGAGGTTATATAGCGGGGAGGGGCGCTTCTGTGTCATACCGATATGGCGAGACGACGAGTCGTCTGCTATCAGCTCAACCTTGGCGCGTTGGCCCGATGTCTTCCGCATGGCATGTTTAAATGCCCTGGCGAGTTGCCTGATTTTTATCTATGCACGTCGGAGATGCGGAATAAAACGTAGATGAGATCTTGATATAAAGACTAAAAATATAGTATCTTCTTTTTCTTTTTCTTTTTTGTTTCTTTTTCTTTTTTTTTTTTTCTTTTTCTTTTTTCTTTTTCTTTGTCTACGTATTTTTCCG